TATTAACTGCAATATAAGATACTGAAGTATATCATAGAATAGTTACAAAGTACTCAGTTTCTTTTGATTCTAATATCTGTCTCAACTCTTAGTATACTAATAATATTAATTCATAAACAATAATAGTTCATGATGAATCATATTTTTATAGTTATCATCATAAAAAGATTAATAATTCACATTTGTAGATTCATAAAAGTATAATTAACTACTATGAAATAGTATAAAATCACAGTTTTTTTTTGTTTAAAAGCTTTTTTGAACTTTTAATCAAGGGTGGTTACTGTTTGATTGCACATTTGAAATAATTTTAACGAAGTACAGAAAAAGTATGAAAATATAATGATTGATATTTCTGATTCAGTAGTGAAAAATCAAATATCCTGCAGAGTTATGCAATCACCCATGATTCATATGAGTTGAAAAATTGTTATCGCAACATGACAATAAACATAATTGAATGTGTATGTATGTATATAAGTATGTCATGATTGATAAGATAGAAAAATTTATTCTTCCGTGAATTATTTGACTATCAATTTATCAAAACTTTAAGCACTAAAAAAATGGAATATGCATTCTTAAGAACTGTTCATTTCAATATTTGTAAAATACACCAAAAACTATTTATTCAACTGCATGAAATGATTTAGTGACTAAAAATTGTATACAAAAAATTACATAAATACAAATTCATACAGTTAGTTTATTAGGTAAATTAGAGTATGCGTTACAGAAAAAAAACTGTTGACTCAATACTAATTATTTATTGATCAATAATCAATGTTATTTTGTTATGTTTCTTAATATTTATATATTGATAGAATTCTATCTAACTGGATTAAGTAATTGAACATTGTAATTTGTTTAACTGGATAGTCCAAAGTAGTCAGAAAGAAGTTTAAAAGAATAAATAAATGTAGTGTATGTTTGTAATTCATAGAAAAGGAAATAACATCAATAATGTTAAAGTATATGATTTCATTTATGATTACAGATACATACACCTTTTCGAGCTTAGTGTCAAAACTCAAAAGACAGTTTTTTTTAAAGAATCTCACTATTACACGCAGTTGAATTCTCTTAACAAATATAAATAAGGTCTTAATGAATTTCCCGATTAACGCAAATACCAAAAGTAACTACTGTGTTATTATCGGAAAGTAGAAAGTCAAATTTTGATGATGACAGTGTCATAATATCATCAGGTGAGGAGATATTGAATTAGTTTTCAAATATCATCAGGTTATGGTAATCTTATAATCGAGTTATGCAACAAGCTTTACTGATATTACAGATTTTACTAATTAGGGATTATTTTACTAAGCTTGTTGGAAAAATAATTAGAAAGATGTAGGGTTTGTCACTAGGTGCGCTTGAAGCTATTGCGAGTTCACCTTAGTCGATAAACGCGAACGAGATAATTACCAGCGTCCAGATAGGCCATCTTGAATCCCAAGCTGAAGATAAAAGGCTTTGTAGGCGTAGAAGTATATTCTACAAACACCCAGCAATCACAGTACAATCAAGCATACAACTCTCGTTTATTTATACATCATAGAAACGTCCCTGACACAGTTACGAAAACAGCACACTAAAATACACAGCGGCCAATCGCAGCCATGGATTTTCCTGTTGGGAAATGAAATTCTCAAGGTCAACTGATCAGCCCATGCTGGCAAACGTCAAATCCAAAATAATGCATTTAACAAGCGAGTTTTGGGGATTTAACGTCCCCAAGAAAAGATAAAAATTTCTGTTTACTAATTTAATAGTTTGTGAGTTTAAGGGTAATGTAATGTCTCGCAGATTTATTCACAGGTGAGAAAAATGTGTCTAACGATTCCACAGTAAATAAGTGTCTAGCGCTCTCTCTATGATTTTCAAAGATTTTTCCACTGACTGACTATTTTCCCTGTTGAATACAAAATACAAAGATCCTAGGATTAACTCCATGAGATTTTGTGGGTGTACACTTCTGAGAAGTATCAAACTACAAGTAAACACATTTAAAACTCCCATTCCATAGTTAAAATCACCTTTGAGTTTTCAGACCATTTTCTAGTATTTTATTATTTCACAAAAAATATTAAACTGTATAAGTTGTTTAAAGCGATATAGTTAATGCAGCTAAGAATTTTGTATACGTAATCCATTTTCACATCATATATGAAGAATCTACATTTTACTTAGCTAAAATCTCACTACATAAAATTTGGTTTATTTCAATTTACAAAGTAAACGCTAGTTTCCATGTATACATTTTTCGATCACTTCCAACTGGGTGACATTATGTAACTAATTAGAGTAACTATACAGCTGAATGATTCTAACTGTCTACACAATAATGTTTGAGTTATTGATTGCAATTTCATTGTAAAAGTTTATTTCAAAGGAAGTGATACATATTTGTTTGCAAATTATTTGACCAATAAGGAAATTAGCCGTTTTTGTGAGGATATACGAATTTTCTATTCGAGGATTTGAGAAAAGTAATAAATACTAAGTGACTACAGATCTGAAAACCATTTTACAATAAGATGAATATTCTCTTTGAACTTAATTATACTATTTCTTTCCATAAGGCTTATGTTCACATTTTTATAGAACGAAATCAATTGAAAAATCTTGAGCGTAGCTGCTACCTTGACGTGGTGCTCAAGCTTGTCTATCGTGATAACTCAGTCGAACTATATTGGTTGGAACAAATGTTCCTGTAGGTTCTACCATCCCATGCAAGTCGATTGGAGAACGGTGAGACTACCAGCAACAACTAAGAGTCTGAGGGAGAAATCGTACTGCCGACTATACAGAGGTGTGACAGCAGTAAGGCGTTCCGCTCGCAAAACCAGCGTCTGTGGTGATGTTGCCTTCTCCCAAGGAAGGAAGGGGTTAAAAAAGGTCGACCCTAAAAATGTCGCACCTCAACTTGCCCCACGGATTTCTGTCTCCGGCGGTAAGGGCACTTGAAGTGGGGAGTTAACACTGTAAAAGCTTCCCAACGCTAATACAACTTCCTTTTTACGTTCGTCAAGAGACACCCTTCCACGGTGTGGGCGGCCGGGAAGTGACATCCGCCGTCATACCCGTAACAGCACACGAGACCAAATTAGTCACAATCAAACCCCTCCTACACCTCTATGACCAAGCCTTCGGACATTCCTTTATTAGCTAGCGCTGCTGACACACATGATTTGAGTACACGAAACATTAGTCCTGGTGTTCCGAAACCCCTCTCTAAACTACATGTTGGTAGGTTTTAATGTTCAAACCTAGTGCCAAATAGGACAACAGGCTTCCTCAGCTAGAACTTTAGAATCCCGCGCCATCAAGGCGTACTGTCTCTTCGAAAAGCATATACAGGATCCGGGTAGTCATTCATTTGACCTCACCATTTCAAAATAAAGAACGAACCGCGGGCGCATTCACTCTTTGTGTCCTTTTGAATCCTAGTTTTCTGAATCCCTCATCACCTTTATCTTTCTCCCAATCTAAATTTATTTCACAGTATTATACTTTTTGAATAATTTATTCGAACCCTAATACTTCTACTACATCTATCACTATGGGGTTTGAACTGACAATTCAATCTCTATGTGCTAATGTGGTATGGCAACTTGAACTAATGTACGTACGTACGAAGTTCTACGTTGTAGCTTACTGACTATTCACATTTTTATAAAAGGAAGTCAGCTGAAGACTCGTGAGCTTTTAGACAGTTTTAACGACTGCTCATATTCGACATTAAAACATAATACTTCTTGTGACGCAATATAACTAATCAAATACTGTATATTGTTGACTTTTTATTACTTCAGTTAACATTTAAATCAATTTGAACATAGTAAATATATCTGGTTATTTAAGAGATTATGATGAATCCAGTACAAGGCACTTGACTTTTCTTACAAAAACTTAAATTATCTTGCATACTTGTCTAGAAAACAAACTTTTTGAGATCTTAATGATTAGCCCTGGTAGCTTCTACAACTTTCCATTAGGTTACTGAAATCTGATTAGTACAGAAGTACTGTTTAATCACTGCATCATCGAAGCAATCGTAAGGTATTCTATTAATTTAACGTTGTTTGTGGTCAAATAAATAATAGTAGTGTGCGGTATACAAACATCTATAATCTAAGTAAAACTTTAGCTTAATACTCCATGTTTATGTTGACTACACTTTTAATGATACCAAGTGATGTCATTCTATTTGGAAATGAGGTGTAAGCATTCGCGTTCTACAATTCAATTATGTCAATATTACACAACGTTCTATTAGTTTGTGTGCTTTCTTAACTTAAAAAATTCAAAATCGTAAATAATCAAACTCATAATGTAACATGAAAATATTTGTGAATTTCTTTACAATTGTACAGCTATTCCATTTTCATCTTACATAAAAGGTAAATTCTATGCATACATTGTTATTCAACCACCCCCCCACTTTTATATCTAATTATAATATATGTAGAGTGAAAAATGGACGATGTGTAACTTTGTAGTAAAATGAATACACATAAATTACACTGTAGCCAGTTCTTTCATTACCTTGTTAAACTACATGAAATCAACCATAAATCAAATTTCACTTCGTTTTAGGACAATTACTACATGTCTTATTATTATTTATATTGAAGAATTATGATCATTATATACTACTAACACTGTAATAAATGCATACATTTTGTTCAGTATTTATAAAAATTATGACTCATCTTAATCATTTTCAAGAAAGAAATCAATTTCTATCTCAGTTCGCTCATTATTGATATGGTCAGCAGTATTGAACCATGTTTTGAAATCCATATAGGTAATAGCCAGGTTGTCAGTTCCAAACTGAGTACGAATTATTAAATATTGATTACTTTATCAAATGCTACTCATTACTTAACACATCAGTTTTGTTCACAAACAGTATAAGCGGCTAACTTGTATGTTTTATAGAAGTGATGATACTCATTAAAACCAACTCTATAAATGAAGTTAATGATGAATGGTCATAAACCAGTTGAAAATAACCGGCTAGTTTATTTGATATACTACACTAAGAATCATTGCACAGCAGTACCATTTTTATAGTAAATAGGCAAACTAAGAGAAACAGAGAACTTCTCAGCGATTCTTTTTCATATTGGAAGTCGACTGAGCGAGTAGTTCGCAAAAAAAACACAATGAACGATTCATCAAAAAGAATATGGTCGTCTATTTTCAATAAAAATGTTACATGAGAGAGACAAGGAAAGGGGGGTAAGAAGAAAAACGACGAGAACATTTAATAATTAAATGTGTAGATAAATTCAGACAATAAAGAATGAGTTTAGTTGTCTTTCATAACAAAGCTGTCATAATTAGGCAAAGAAAGCAACACATGGGAGGTAAATTAAGAATCTGACAGGAAAAGTTCATATGAGACGTAGAAATAAGGAAAACTATTTGACATGTTAGTTAAACAAATAGGCGCTCGTCAGTATGTGAGTGAAAAAGCTGCAGATATTTACTACTGATTGATTTTTTATTTATTCGCAGGTCGAACGTAACTACAATACAATAAAATGAAAACGATATAGACACTGGGAACAGGTAGTAAATAAATCAAACAATTGACCAGTTATGAAAATTTTCATATGAAAAATTAATTACGGTAAAATCGTTTTCTAAGAAAAGACAACATTATAAGTAATAATAATTGCACAACTGGATTGCGACAAAAGTTACTACTTCCTATGCTTGCTTTATCATAATGATGACAGTATAAATAAATGCAAAAAATAAAATAAAAACTGATGGAATTCAAAACACCATATGGAACATTCAGAAAACAAAAGATTCATTGAATTTATTATTATATACAAATGAAGTTTTGAAAGAGTAGGGAGAACAACTATACGCGCAAACACAGTATGTATGCAGTCTAAATGTGAATAAAAAAGACATGTATATGTGTACATATATATATACCTCCATGAATGAGCGTGGGGATTCATTAAAACAATGAGACAGTAATGTTGTATATTACAATGATTCTAAAAAGTAAACTTGCAATGTTTACACAGAGTTAAAAACAAAATAATAAAAGACAGAATGAAAAGAGAAAAAAACTCAAATTATGAACAATTAACAGAACAATGTGATTAGCATTTTCAGAAGGCGCTGTACGAACACCCACACACCCACACAAAATATTAATAACTAATGTAAATAGTAAAAAGATATGTGTAGAAATACAAATAAATGATAGAAATGAGAAATGGCGCTTCTGTTTTTATTTACTATTTCCATATTCTATATGTTGATAAAAAGCACGCTCTTATTTGAAGTAGATCTTAAGTTGGAAAAGATGCATTTTAGTACTGATGGTATAAATGAAGTCATTTATGGTTTTAATACAGCAATTAAATATGGAAGAACAATGTGTTACTTTCCGATGAAAATCCCAGACATTCACATCATATTTTTGTTCACTTTTGCTCGAGCATATCGGTTGAAAAGAGTATGAGTTGTAACAACATAATGAAATTTATGAAACTGATGAAATAGGATTTCTTGGTGTACCCATTTGTGTGAGTACACGGTCAAGCCATTGTAATGGACCATTCAAGTGAATTTCAACCCAACATGGTGTAGATGTAACATCTTGCCTATGATATTCCGCACCCCAACCTTTTACAAAACTCATACGTATTGTACACATTTTAGTTAATTCATAAACAGCTTCAAAACCATGATGTACTGTCCGACTAAGTAGATGAGCGAATTCTTGATTTGAGAATATTTTCAATGAACAACCAGGCGGAATTTTACACACTGTGGTTGGATGAAAATTATGATGATAATTACAATTACGTGATTGTACAAATATACTACTATCCGACAAACATTCAGCGTATACTTCACCACCAACGTAGTACAGATGAACGCCTACATGAGGATATAAAAAGTAAAAAACAGATAATGATGAAATGAAGAACGTGATATTTTATTGATTCTATCTAAAATGTATACTATGATATTAGTTCGAATTCCTTAGAACTCGATATTAATTTCTTGATTTACTTCTTTTAAAATAAAGATTTTTAAACATGGTTATTCTTATAGTTGATGTTTAATATGTATTTGCGGTAGTTTGTTGTGTAGAGTTAATGTCAAATCTACAGAACCAGTATAAAGTATGTACATTTGAATCTGGACATCTATTTTTGGCTTAAAGATAAATTGAACTTTAATTTGGAAGGTAAATACGATAGTACGAACAACAATAATCAGTTCTACTTTAGTTCCTATATGCACTTTTCAATTACTTGTTAAAGTAAGTACACACAATTATTGTTACAAAGGGGAAACTAAATAATGCACCATACAAATGATTGAATTTGCATGTAGGCTGGAGTACTAACCGGGTGCCCGAAACGAAGTAGGTCGTTATATTGGGACTCTTCACTTAAAGATCTAACCCACAAGGCAGTGGAGCAACATCAAGAGATACGATTCCATGGTAGTCGGTGAATAATAATAGGTTTCCAGACTCTCCTAAGTGGATTCTCTATAAACACCAAACATAAGAGAGTTGGACATTCACTTTTCATCCTCTCAATTTCGTAAACATCCGCGCCACAAGAAGGCACTGGGCGAAGCTTTCTTGGCAATGGCTGTATACACGTGGCTACATGAGAGCACTTAGAGAGGAAGAGTAGACTCTCTTCACTCTCGGCCGTACCAAGGCATTTGGGGGCCAAGACTACAACGTTAAGAGTAGGGTGCACAACTGGAAGATAAATACTGGGGAGCTAAACAGATAATAGAATACGAAATATTACAAGTTTCGGTGGGTGGAAGTAAATAAAAAAATCACCTGTTTGTCGCACAGCAAATGAAAAAAACTAATTGGCTCCATATTAGGAAATTATTTTAGTCAAAGTAAAAACAACAATTGAAACAGTATGGGCGATTTTAAAGCAAATAAAGAAACTAATAAACTGGGGCCATAATTATGTGAGTTGAATAAGCTGATAGTGATCAGGAAACTATAATGTAGGCACATTGTTAGATGACCTCTCTACTAAAATCCAAATTTGCACATATATATATATATATATATATATATATATATATATATATATATATATATCAGACTCATCACAAGACTTATTTGCTTTATTAAATTACAAGTTTTGTTAAGATGAGCAATCACTTAATCGCATAGTTTCAACAGTGTTTCATAAAATAAGCAGTGGATAATACAAATAATGTAGTAAGTAGAGTTTCAAGCAAGACTAAACCTGGTCATTTAAGTGTTTACTTTAATCCCGTCGAAAGAGTATATCTATGGCAAAATTTACTCTAGAAAAAAACTCTTGAGTAAAGTCAAAACTATCAAGTCACATTAATCGTTACGTTAGAGCACAATAAAATGTGGATAAGTTGGAGATAAACAGATACAATGCAAGCAAATGAATCAAATAAGTATTCGTGGATAAAAAAAAGCGAATAAAATATGCGGAGTAAATAATTTGGTTATTTTAAAAATAACATTTTGTTTTGCAGATTAAACAACATAAATTAGTCAGATGTCATTGTCCTCACTGTACAATAAATACCGATGTTAAAATAAATTATAAATCTTCAAAAAAGAGATGATAACCTTTTCCAATATGACGTCTTGTATTCTCAATTGTAGAATTTCGATTAACATTGGACAAAAGACCAAGACAGAAACGATCTGAATTATTTGATGGGTCTGTGAAACCATCAATAATTATGCTTAATTGTGAAGCGTTGAATGCTTCACCAACACGATTATTTAATTCATAATAAACAATGGAACACCAGTATTTAGGTTCTTGATAATTGACTGGATGCATCGCTAGAAAGAAAATGAAAAAATAATGCATTTAGCTAAAGAAAATATTGCTATCAGCACAATATATTCACAAGGTGTATATTATGGATAAATTAAAGCATGATTTGTCAATGGAAGTGGTAGGTTTAATATAACTCAATTGTTTTAATCCATCAATATGTAGATAGCATAACTTAACAGTTTTAGACATGATTTATGAATGAGATCGGTACACCGATGAACATTTTTCGTATAATACATTCACGAAATCAAGTAACTTTCCAGTCTTTTTAATGTACACAGTTCAGGGGCTAGATGTAAATAAATCATCTTTGATTGATTAAATAGTTACTACATTTTGCATACCTTAGCAGCTAGGAAATTGAATTATTATTTGATTTTGTCTGTCTAAAGTTTGATTCTTCTAAAATTGGGATAGAGAAACAGATACTGTCTTGACAATCGACTAATCTAGACAATTTTGAATTGCAACAAATCTGTTGAACATTCTGCCAAGTGGTCGTTTGGTTAAGTAAATCAGTGCTTTGACTAAATACTACTTGAAGATAAAACTTCATAAAGTTTGAATATTTTTTGTCGCGAAGTGAAGATTTATTCTTATCGAAGATCAAAAAACTAAAACTGTTTTTAGCCCGAATTCTATATAAAATTTTAAAATGTATTCTATTGATCACAGCAACGGATTCCTTTGTGTGATTCATATTGCCGCCTAATACCAACATAAGACAGAAGTACCAGTTATACAATTGAAACTAGCCGAGATTTTTTGAAATCCTGTCAACAAGTGGTCTCAGTAGTTTATTCATCGTTACTACATCAGTTTATAAACAAAGCAATTTGTTAGCCTGAAGTCACAAATTTTCAGTGGAAATTATATACATACGTTCACTATATTTGACACAAAATCTATAGTTTCCTTTAGTGAGTTAACGATGCTTATAACTGATGAATGCTAGTAAATAAGGATGATATATTGTTGAATATGCATAAAACAGCGTAAAACAGCTTTTACGTCGTATGGTGGTTGAAATAGCAACAAGTTAGATGAAAGCTAGAGATTAAACTAAGACATGGCGTTAATCCATAAAACACCTGACTGTTGAAATGTGTCATAATAGTCGATGCAAACTACCTGTTTGAAGTCCGTGTGATGATCCTAATCAGTAGTAGATATTGAATCGGCTAGTGGCAAAGATACATCTTTCTGTAGGTTTTCGATTCCAGTGATTATTTATGCATAACTTTTTATTCCTTCTTTCCGAAGCATGTTCTTACTATGATTGATACTAAAACCATTTTGATTCATTTGCTACTTATTTTGACAATCCCATCTCACTGTGATAACTTGATATGGGTACTTGGGACAAAGCATGCCTGATTTAGGCTCCGCTGATCAGGACTAGATCCCTTTCTGTAAGGATCAACGGTACCCAAGTAGTTTATGTTAGCTAAAAACGTGACAAATGCCAAGCCCAAAAAGACTCTAGAAGCAACCGTAATTCACATATTTAGACTTTCTATAGATGAGCTTTCCTACAAATGAGACGTCCGACTGAAATCACCACATCTCTACAGTCAGAACTACTTCAGCTTCAGACCTTCAGTTGCTGCTGTTAGTTTCACCGTTCTCCAATCGACCTTCCTGGAATGGTAGAACCTACAGGAACATATGTTTCAACCAATATAGCTCGGTTAGGTCATCACGATAGGCAAGCTAGACCACCATGTCTATAGTTCGGAATAATATTTACTAGTAGCTCAGATTATTGAGTCGATATATTTATGGAATTGTACGTATGACAAACTATCAAAACAGAAAACGTTGGCTACAGAACGTTTAGTTCTATGGATGTGAATGAATCTCATCAATTAGGTTTAAATATGGCTAAGTATACAAGTACAGGAACTTGATACCAATCATGAATCGTACTTTGTGTCAGGGATATTAGTACTATCAAGCTATCAAAAGGCAAGTTGATGGGACAGGGTTTGAATCTGCAACATTATGACTAAAAGCCGTAAGTTACATTACCATAACTAGATAAAGCGTGCTCCAGTTCTCAGATTGTCGGTGAATTATTATAAATTAACAGTTTGTTACACTTTGCTTATCATTTGCACTTCCACGTAATGATTTTCTTAGTATCCATTTAGGATCATCATACTGGACTACTTAAAGATTGTAACAGGCTACGGATTGTTCAACTCCATTTCTTCAAGAAATTGTATAAATATTGGTATATATTAACAATGCACTGAAATAATCATAAAACTAACTTTGTCCAGAGGCAGCCGGATCCTGGTTGGGATGAGTTTGGTAACCGGATTGGAGGTTTGAGCCTGTAAAAAATAACAATGATTTTAAAAATGTATAACCAAAGTGTTTAACCGTATTTAAAAGCTGATAGCGAAATTTATATATAACGGGTGTTGATTTATAACGAAATGTTCTTTAAATCCGCTTGTAAAAGAATTAGGTGTGAAAACATCTCACGTACAATTAACCTTCTGAAATATTATGGCTAACTGATTAACAAAATAGACTTTTAGTCATTACATTATTAGCTCAGATACCATTTTAACACTTCAAGTGCATTACTTCTATAAGCCATGTTTGATAGGCACAAAACAACAGAGTTTTCTGCTTGACAGGTTCTCTCTCTGGTAAAATAATAATAACTTTCTAGATATATAAACATCTTGTCTATGTTTGAGGTGGTGCATGCTATAATCGAAGTTAACTTTCTGTATACATGCCGATAATTCTTCGGCAATCAAACTTCTGGGCCCATGAGACTTCCAAGGTAAAAGGCCAGTGAATTTGACTACTTCGCTCGTTATGGTTAGACTAATCATTGACTAACTATAGTGGACAAAATTATGATTAAAAACATTACGATCTAGGGGATTTCCTTTGTTTGAAAGCTGCAGATGCAATAAAATCACCAATCATCTTATTAAATAGCCAAAACTTTTAACACTATACAAAGAAGTGACAAGCTATTAAAAAAAACGAAATATTGTTAGAACTAGGTTGTCTCAGAAAACTATACATTAGAATATGCCTTAAAACGGCTGAAAATATACAATGCTAGGATTTGTAGTATCAGACGTTGTGTGACATTTGTTTGGAACGTCTGAGTATAAACAACTCAGACGTTGGGACGTAGTAGCAAATGCGATTTTTTGGGAAATATTGTAACTGAACGATATTTTTTTAACTTTTGTTACGGTTGATATTTGGAAAGTAGTCAGAAATGTTCATTAAAGTATGATTTTGAGGAGAGAAAACTTCGTAGGTGCTTCAAAATCACCATTACACTAGACACTGATACCAAAAGCTCAACCTATGACACTTTAGAACAGTCAAACTACAGGACTAGAAAAGTAGAGAAAAAAAGTGATCTGAATGCTGCATAAAACCCATAAAAGTTGTTTCCTGGTACATATAGCGATTGGTATACAAAATCACATACATTTATTGGTAAGATAATTAACAATAAACTGACATGAACGAACCAAAATAAGACTGTACTTACTATTAGGGGAATGGATAGGTCCAGAAACTGTGCTGTCTGTAGAAGCTCCACTGTTTCCAGGAGGGAGAGATGGAGAATGACTGAAGTTGTGTGGGTAATTTACATTGTAAGGCATTACGGAGTCTGTCATCGGAAACATTCCTAGATTAGATGCTGAACGGGAACTAGACATCCCACTGCTGCCACAGTGTGATAAACCCGGTGAGGGAGTTACAGTGCTGAGATTTGGGTACTCACTATGCCGAGGAACGAGAACTGGAGGCAAAACTAAAATAATGAATATCAATTAAGCTTACTGATAACTGTACATACGGTGATAAAAATTAAAGTGATTGGTTAGTTTATTCAACTTTCACACCGCAAGACCTTAGTTAAATACATAGGCCCTAATAAACTAAGGGAACTGAAAGGTGTCTGCTATTTGATGTGGAATCGCGCAAATGATTATTGTGAAGAAAATATGAAAAGAAATAGAAAGTATCTCTAGAAAGCTGTACAGGGCTACCGAAATTCCCAGTTATCACATCATCAGCAAACAAAGCATATTACTGACTAGGATATTAACAACTTTATGTACTAAATAACTTATCAGAAACCTCAAAACTTAACAAATCATTTATAGCTTCGTATTATTAGGGACAAGAATCTGTAAATTGTCACTTATTTTAGGTGTATAAGCCGAAAGTAAGTATAGTGGAGTAAAATAAAGACAAAACACAAATTATCACAACAGCAAATGCACTTACCCGGACTTTCAACTCGCTGATAGTGGTAAGGATTAATACAAACCTCATTTTCTTTAGCTGAGAATGGAAATCGGCAGAACTCAAGAGGTTTCAGTTCATGATGGCTTTGCAAGTCAGGCCACCTCCATACACGACAATAGATTACATGGGGTAATCCTTTCCTATGAGAAACTTGAAGTCGACCGTCGAGAGATCGGGGAATGGTGACACATTCTGAAGGTTCACCAGGATTACTTAAAGCTCGCTCTAAAGCTTCAAGTGCACCTTTTTTCTTTTTAAGTTTTTTCACAAGTGAATCAACCGCTTTTTCAGCCCACTTCTCTTCTTCATCTCCTTGTTTCCAACCAAGAAGTCTTTTTACAGCAGGAGAGGTGAATGAAAATAAGCTATTTAGACTAGATATTGGAGTTGACATAGCCTGCTTGATAGACTACAGCAAGAAGCTAATATCCATTCAGCAATTATAAAGATTAGTTGTTAGATAGATTTCACCTAGTCAGTGGGAAAATTGATGATGGAAGGGAAGTTTGAACATATATGGTGAAACTACTTTGTCACCACCAAAACCTGGAATGAATAAGAGGGAATGTTTAACTACCTCCATAAACAAAAAATACGTTCAGGGTGAATGTTATATAAACTATAACCGTTATAAACAATTGTGAGGGCCTACTTCGAGGATACGTTGGTCGATCACTAGTAGCGAATTGCAGTCATATACTCCCAAAGTTGTTGTTACTACATATCCGCTTCCTAACTCAAAATGTAATTTTGAGGTGGCTTTCTTCCAGAATAGGGGAATACTTAATATTTAATTTAATAACGCTACTTTTTCTGGTTAGCATTGATTTCAATGGCTCATATTAAGGACTATGAACTTCAAATTTCATATTAGGGGGGTCAGTCAAAGGACTGAGTAAACATGATAATAGAGTAGAATATGCTGGGACCGTAACTAATTAAACGTATGTCCAGTTGAAGAGTGGACACGGTCAGATAAACAAACACTTGTGTAAAGACACAACTCAAGTCGATTGTCGTTATTCCGTACAAGTTGCTAGTAATGAATAAATAATTAGGCCGATGTACCTCAAGGCTTCTTATAGTCGATTGCGTCGGCAGTATGATTGGGAATTAGTTTAAATTCCCAAGAACCAAACTAGGATTGGGAACTATGATCTTGATGTAACTGTACCAATGATTTTCACTAGTAGTAAACAATGCAGAACTTGGGATAAAATGTTTCAGTGTGACCTTTCACACCATGTACGAACAGTGAAGAACAGCAATACTTATAAAATTAAAAACTGAACACTCTATACAGTTTATTTCACTACATAATTTAGTGTATGAATAAGACTTTCGTTGGCGTCAGAATCTTCAACTTTTGGATGAACTGCTCCGCATCTCTTAAAATATGTCAGACGCAAAAGACTGCGAACTACACATACCTAATTAACGAAATACGTGACAATACGATACATAACATAACGGTAACTGATACCATATCACTGCCATATTAGGAATGGAAAGTACCAGTCATGAGCGAAACTGATAAATTCTATAAGATCGAAGTAACAAGATTTCCTATGACAATTCGAAATTTGGGTCATAAACCAGAGTAGTAAGCTACCCTATTCTAAAGCTTATGACTGGGAATCCCACCAAAATCCTTTCCACAATTGAGAAATTTCTCACAAATCTAAGACTAGGTGAGTATGAAAGATATATAGGCATTTCAAAACAATCAAAAAAGAAATTTCAGTCGCCGTTGATGCATATGTATATTCCATAAAGATATTATATTGGTTCCCGACTAAGAAAACACTAAGAATCAGAATCGCAATTTCAAATAACGTTACCCCACTTGTCGTCTTTGGCGCTCAAGTCGAAGATAGCGCGGCACTGACGGTTCAAAATAGTGTAAACGAAATATAAAAAGCGTTCACTTAGCAAGCTCTTTTGTTTTGAGGAAATACACAAGAGATAAATGCAGGTGAGGGTCTGTATGCATGGAGCGAACAGGTGCATTAGAAGTATCAGCAAGTTAATACCAACTACATTTCTGAAGACTCCAGAATAAACCGATTAAACTATTGAAGGACTCAAGAGGTACAACTGAAATCACGTTCGTCTGCCTAAAACTTGCGAGAGTTTTGCACTCTCAAATAATGTGTGTGTTTACAATCCGTATACAGTCTTTTACCTGCAATTTCACCGTATTTCCTATTAGGCTTTTGTTTGTACTGAGTTAGAGTTGATTTTTTATAGAAATTTAAGGGAAATTCAAGATTTATTGTGCCATCATGAGGTCGCTAATGAATCTCTTCTGTTTTAATGAGAAAAAGTCGAATTATGTGGTTTCATCAAGGATTGGGTATGAGTTCGCAGAGATTTCCTTTCACGTCTTGAGTAGAGTCCTGAATATCCTCATCCTGTACAAATGACTGAAGCAACTTTCCATCAACACAAGCCAAATAGATGTAAATAGAGCATTTGAAGATCAATCTGAAAATTTTCCTATGATGACGATCTAAAATATATATCCCTAAGTTACTGAGTGCTCGAAAGTCATTCAGTTGAGATTCGAGTAAAACATCGGATTTTTGGGCACGAGATAGATTGCGGGATCATGAGGGAATCAGGATTTCATAGTAAACAGTGAATCAAGCATTTCCGACAGGCTGATCTGAACAAAAATATAATTCAGGAACGCGTGTGTTCAAAAGTCTATCTTTTCATTGATATGGATAATAAATAATATTGTTAGATGCAATCTTACGTGCTACAATTCAGTTTCAGATATTTTCAAACGAATATATCACACAGCCGGATAAAAAACGATATCATCGTCCGACTCTTCAGGGGTGGACGTTCTACCGGGAGACTAGCTTCCTGACTTAGAGTATTCAGATGACATAGTTATACTTTGTGAAAATCCTGGTAATTGATACAGAAGGCTTGATTGGCTGTTACCAACTTGCGTCACTCATTGCGCAGGCGAAGTTTCGGTGTACTGATCAAAGGACTAGTCTACAACGTAGTAGTTCGCTCTACTTATGCGAAACTCAAATGTGCGACGACGGTAACAAGAACCTCAATACAGATTCGGCTGGATTGATTAATTTCAGGCAATAGTTATCAGACAGAAATGACAATGAAAAGCATACAAGCAGAGCAACAAGAATAGGACAAGGCAAGTGAGCCAACTCAATGTAATGTGGTATGACTAAGCATTCATAGTCAGACGAAAATAAGCCAGACGAGTAATAAATGAGGTAGGCAGCACATACGCACCTAAATAAATATTACCATATTATAAGTGAATGATAGACAAGGTTTAAAGGCATGTGAATAGTGACTGAAGAAGAATGTATTGATTAATTTGTCCGGAGGTCAAGCAAGCCGTGCGCGCTCGACATAAAATTACACACTCTACAATATCATATTACTGATATTGTTTTCATTATTGCTGCATTGATGTAGCTCACTTTCCTATTGGCTAACTGAAAAGTCCTTCTGAACTGTTGCTTGTTTGACGTTAGATTGAATTTTAGTATCACCGCTTAAGTTCATGAACTCTGAGTTTTTGAGATAATTATCCCCAACACTATCTTCTCAGGATATGATCAATACTATTCTGTGAAGTTCCACTTAGGATTGATTTGCAGCGTGTTTATTCTTCGTTTAACACTCGGCCAGATTGCCGTTTCTGAGACAGTCACTGACAGTGTGTTGCATCCAGATGTCTGAGTCATTACGATAAAAACTATTTTAAATATGCTAATCAGGTACCACGACCAGCAATTCATGAAACGAGTGGATAAAGATATGGATGAACACAGTTTCTTAAGTGAATATATACAAATATGCGACTGAGTGATCGACATTTTACTATGAACATGACCATTCAAGTAGTCACTGTTTAAAATAGTGGAGAGAATACTTAGGCAAACACATAAGTTATATTACAAACTCATTGTAGTGTGTATTTATATGAAAGATAACTATTCCAAAATGCACGAACTAGCAAGAATTTGAAATGAAGTTTCTATCTGAAGATATCTATACTTTTTTCGATGTAAAATGAAAATACAAAATCTAGTCCTTCTGTTCACTTGGTTGGTGATCAGCGCATACGAAAATATACCCTCAAATTATAGTGATGGTCAACCAGCAAGCCTGCTGAACGCGCACGTCGCTGCTTTTTAGGCAACACAAGGATTCTCGCTGTGGTCAACAGTAATCGCCACTGCCTCAATCGGCAACATACATGTTGTCTAGCTTGGTCCGCAGACAAGTGGACATCCAGAAAGTACTCACACGAACAGAAGCCCGCCCTGGCACTTATGAATCAAGAGATCCCTCCAACCAATCCACTACCCATAATCCTCAATCGGCAAGAGCACAAGACGGGCTTACCCATCTGAACGTGGCACCCCGAAGCGGATTACCGAGCCACCCAAGCAGTGCACTAATCAGCAGCTGTTCTAACCGTCTGGTCTCCAACTGCCTTGCGCTGAACAATCGATCGTTGTCCTCATGGCCCCACATAAAGCTAAAGATCGAGTTTGTCCCACAAGGTCAGCTAGAACGTACACCTTTCCATGAGGAAGATGTCATCAGCTCGACCAAGCGCAAGCGCTCCGCCAAACAGGATTCATCCCACAGAAGTAGGCAGACATCATTGGCGTCCAATACCCTTCCAGCACCGGAACACCGGAACCCTCCCGGGGACCCTTGTTTAAGGGGCCTCGACGCCAGTTCACAAACTACATCGGGTGCAGAGTGTAAGGGAAAACCACACAGGGTCGGCGTCTAAAGTCTCAGATATCTACGGCTGCCTCCAAAAACAGAACGTCCAGGGCCTCCTTCAATCATTCCAGAAAGCTACATCCCCTTCAAGGTATTTGCTACTACGGAATGATAGAGGACAAGCCCTCAATCATAATCTGAATTTACCTTCCCTCGAAGGACGGGATTCAGACCTAGAGACTTTCAGTCTTTATCCCCAGAGTGGTCAGCCGCATCCACAGCCTTGCAACCATGAACACGTAACATTATTCTGGGCCATGCTAGGCACGGTATCCTAAGCGTCCGAAACGGCATTTAGCAGCAGCGATGTATCCGCCGCCACGTTTCTAGCGGGACCACGAAGAGATAGCCGTCATCACAACCCCAAAAGGCTTCATTTATGCGTGTCACTTAATATATCCCTTCAATTAGATGAACATTAAAGAACGAATGCACAACCTCACTCAGCTAATATTGCAAGTTCATTCAATTAACCGTGCACAATCAAGCTTTGGATATTTTGACTTTTAATGTCCATATGACCGAACCCGCCTGGATCACTTCTGAGGTTGCTGCCGGTCCCAAGTTCAGATAATGAAGGGTTGGTGACCCCATCCCGTAGAAAACCAACTCGCTGAAAAACGCTAAACAGAGGAAATTACTCAAACAACATAAACTCTGCCCTGAGAGTTAAAAGATCATCATTTAAAAGAGTTATGACAACTCATTATGAAAGCCGAGTTTCTTCGGAAGTCACGAGGCCAAAGCCACTTCTCACAATCAAATCAATGATTAGTATAGTTATACGGAATGCTCGTACATGGTGGGAGAACGGGAGAGTCATTCAAGTGGCTGCGGAGATGGGAAGATACAACCTGGTGGCACTTCAAATAAGTGGAACTCAGTTTGGACGCAGGTTGGACAGAAGGACTAGCTTCGAGAGAGTTGATGTTATACTCTGACTATGAGGAGGAACATGTCTCATACAGAGTGAGTTGCACTGGTGTTGTCTAGAGAAGCCTGAGAAGCACTGATAGGTTGGGAGTGGCATGTACCGGGAATCAGATCACCAAAGCATCCTTCAAGACAAAGAAAGGAGGATTGCAGTGAATGTGATCCAATGCTGTTTGCCTACCAACGATGACAATGATGATGATAAAGATCAACTCTATGAGAGTCTGAAGTCAATCGTTGAGAAACGCCTAGCAAAGTATTTTACCATTCTGATTGAATGCCTAAACTCCAAAGTTGTAACGAACAACGCTAGATACGAAAACATCATTAGACGTCTTCAGCTGAGAGAAAGAAACGAAAATGGTGAGAGATTTGCTAACCCATGTGCCTTCAACAAACGGGTCATTGGCGGCACCATATTCTCGCACAAACATACACAAAGCTATTTGGGTCTCACTAGATTGCAATACGGAGAACCAAGTGGATCAGATCTGCATCAATACAACGCTCAGAAGGAGTACGACGGAAGTAAGAACAAAGATAGGAGCTGACAGAGCTGCAGATCATCACTTGGTAGTGGCCAAGATGAAACTGAAACTAGAGAAGCACCGGACAACGGCCTTTCTTCGGGATACTGGTAAACTGAATGAATTCAAGATAGCCATCAGAAACAAGTTTTAGGCCTATCATGATCTACTCAATGGAGAGGAGACTGCAAAGGGATCTAAGAAGCAACAACTTCAGCATGTCACGAGGTTTCGGGTCACAAGTAGCACCATCGCAATGAATGGACTTCTGTTGATACTCGTAATAGGATTCAAGAAAGAAAGGACAGGAAGGCAGCAATCAGTATCAGCTGAACAAGAGAAGAAAAAGCAAAGGCACTGATTGAGTGCACTGAGGCAAAGAAGCAAATGGGGAGGAGCACTAGAGATGGTAAGCGAAAATATGTGGAAGAACTAGCTATGATAGCAGAAAGAGTTGCAAGAGGAGGAAATATGTGACAACTATGCGGTGCAACGAAGTAGCTTGCTGGGAAGCATTTTAGACTGGAACGACCAGTGGAAAGCAAGGAAGGCAAGATAATTACCAAAATGGAAGAACAGCGAGACACGTGGGTAGAGCACTTTGAAGAACGCTCGAACCGACCAGTCTCACTTAACATTATTTACTAACTTATAGACATTTTTCATTGCAATAAAACATTTACACCGGAGTATGATTCGAAACAAACATCATTTAATTAATACTTGCGATGTTTAAAATATATTAAATATCAAATTAAACTTAATTTCTGATATTAGGGAAATTTCTGTTGATCATTAACGTCCCGATAAGGTTTTGTTTTCCATCCCTATGGATATTACCGTTTCGGAGCTTCAATTTCTGACATTATATTGATCCATAAAAATGTTTAGGGGATGGTTTGATCTACGAGACAGTTAACAATACCTAGTTTTCTGAGTTCGTGCTCCGTTCACAGTTCCCTACACAGAATGTCCCTAACTCTCTGTACTACCAGGAATGCCTTCTGTGTTTGTTCATTTTGGCTCTAATGAAGTACTTATACGCTTTGGCTGTTAACCTAGTCAATTTTCGTTATTTTAAATAAAGTTTCTATCGATAATTTGCGAAATGAACTTAATTTTTTATCCTCTAACTTTTAAGAAAGTTCAAAGCTGAAGAGATTAGAGCTGCAATCTATAATCTTAAGTTGTATTAAGTTGATAAATATTCCTACTACTTGAAAAGATTAAAACACTAACAATTGACGTTTAATATTAGTTTTATATGCTTGGAAGTATGGATTAGAAGAAGCTGTACAATGGAATTGTATTTAAACAACTAGTAATCCATTGAGTCAGTCAGTTACAACGTAGAAATTCGTACGTGCGTACATCAGTTCAGGTTGCTACACCGCATTAGCACAGAGACCACCCGACTAAGCATTTAATATTTTGTGAAATGTATTGGCTTATCTTATAAATCTATCAAACGTCCTTCTTAAAGACTCAATTTAGGTGTTCTCCATCTTCAATCTAATTTTTGTTATACTTATTAGCTTGTTTGATTTGCCGCAAACTATTTTTATTTGAAGATCAATTTTTGTTTGTTTGTCATTTCCTGTACGAATCTATCTCTTTCTGACACGCTTAAACTACTCATTCGCAAATCCACTATTCCGTATAAAGTTCATAATTTTGCCTTGCCATCTAGACATCATTGAGTTTCAATCAATTTAGTTACACAGGAGCATTGATTCAAGCCATATGCTTCATCTGATGAGTTTTATGAAGCCTATTACAGTTTGATTTGGGTGATTTCTGAAAACTTGTCCAATAGAGAAGCATTTTTTTTCATGGACCCGCATTAAATGGAAATCGCTGCAGATGCTGGTTGTCCTAGGGGAACACCTTACTGCTGTCACATCTCTCTGCAGTCAACAGTACGACTTCGCCCTCAGACCTTGAGTAGCTTCATTGAGTCTCATCGTTCTCCAATCAAATGAAAAAAATAAACTCAGTTGGCGTCTCTTAGTGTTCTCATTCACAAACATTCTCGTAGATAGTTTTCATGCCAGTCATCTAATTTTAATAACTATTTATCAGTTTAGCCTTAATACGCTATCTCAAGTTTTTATCCTTTTTCAAAGATGTAAGTAAAGTTTCCGTTGTTTTTATACTGATCAATATTCTTCAGTCTAAGGTAGAGATGTATTATTTATTAGATTTTATTTTTCACGGTAAAGTGGTTTAAATATAAATAAATGCTAACAGACATGATTGAGTACTGCTTATGTCTAATCGATTTATATGCATCATACATGCTTTCACATAATTTATAGCTCAGATCCAAACAGATAAATGGACAGAGTGTGACATTCAAACACTTGGTGAGATGAAATGTTCAATGCATTCATGGTGCATCCCAATGATCGTCACAATTCGTTTGCTTTCGCAATGCATACAATCATCTGTTTCCATCCAAAAGACTTACAAGTTGCGAATCGTTTACACTGCTTCAACAGGTTTGCTGATATTTTCGAGCTGAATCAAGTTCAACAAAATCGTTTAATGATCTTTCTTACTGGAGATCCCTCAAGCAGATAGTAGGGTTATGAAAAAATCGGTTAAATCAGTGGATATAGAAAATTGTAAATAGTTGATTTCTGTAAGACACATCATCTTAATCAGAAAAAGCAACATTCATCTTATCGCTGATTAACGTGAGTCGACACACCAGATGTTTGTTATCTTTTGGGGACGTTAGATCCCCAGAACCCACTTGGAAAAGGTCCTGATTTTGAATTCCGCGCATAAGCTGCCTAGTTGACCTTGAGATTACATTTCTCGCTTGGAAAATCCTTGACTTTTATTGGTTGGTGGGTTATTTTAGTACGCTATTTTTCGGCTCTCTCAAGGGCGTTTCTATCTTGTATAAACAAGCTCGAATTGTGCGCTTGTCGACCTCGTATTTTCTGGGCGCTTGTGGAATACACTTTCCGCGCCTTATCAAGACTTCTTGATATAGTTAGCCGAACCGGGAACAAACGGATTAGAATAGCCTATTGTCTCACTGCATCATTTGTCTGCGCTCCGTTGAACTCGTAATAGTTTGAAGCATATCAATTGACGAGCATATCATTAACATGTGATTTAGTGTTTCTCATCGGTATGTTTTTGTTCGGACATGATAAACAGCTTGTCGATCCAAGAAAACGGTTGCTTGCAAACTGAAACATTAAACTATCCATTTATATTATGTCCACTCAGAGTCAAGAATAGGGTTGATCAGTCTTTCCAACCTATACTTAGCGAATACTCTAAACTGAACCACTAAACTATGTGATTTCCATACGCAACCAGCAATTTTACACTTTATCTATACAACAGGACATTTAGTATTAAAAGCACACCAACAAGCCAGCAGAAAGCTAAGAACGGAGGAAAAATTGATATGTTGACTGTAAAGATCATTCACTCTGCAAATAATCCAGTCTGACTTGCATAGGGTCTCTAAAAATGACGACAATAACTATGGTGTGACTGATGATTATGAGAGAAATGTGAGTAAATAAACCAACTTTGACGCTGTCTAGGCTTAGTGATACATCAATTTTGTTCATTAAATTTTCTACACCAAAGTTTCCATTAAGTTTGTATAATTTTGTTTTTTAATAGATCTAGTACTAAGAATAATGGACATAATTTCGAAAAAATTCAGCTATTTACTGCAATAATTACTCAACATTTATAAATAATAAAGCTTCCACCATTTTATTATATTTCCCCAGCGTATTATTCAGTTCATGTCTTTATATAGAAACATTTGCACAAAGAACATTAACAGTAATCACTTTTGCTATTGATCGATGGTTTAAAAGAGGAAATAAAGACAAGTGAAGGATTCTGTGAATGAATAAGAATAATAAGATTTAAGGTGTTCTTTTAATATAATAGAATATACTTACAAAAGTAGACGTATAGGGATGGACTTTGAATTTCATGTCAAAAAAGAGATTTTTGATGCCAGAACGAAAGTTCACATAATAACTACAACATAAGAATTGATTTTCAAATGAATCGGTTCCAGCTAAATTAACTGTTATTTCTATTATGCGTTTCGATGAGAAGTATGCTCGGAAATGAGAATGAATCTAAGGTGGCGGAATCATATCGGAATGATGTACTCGCTTCTCATTTAGTTCAAGCAGGAAACGATCAGCAGAATCTTGCCACGTTTCATTTTTCAACTTCCGGTCTTTCGCTTTAGCAACCTGATGAAAAATAAAAGTAACAATTAATGCTTTGATTACTGAAGCTTGAACGTTGACAACTGAAATGTATCATAATCAAAAATGGTGAATTAGATGACCATTGAATCTATGACACATCTTATTGTCTAAGATTTTAATAACAGTATGTGATGGGTGAACCTTTGAGCTATATACTTGTATAGTGGTAAAATCTGAATGTATAACTGAATTGGGGTGAAAGCCTGATAAATTATTTATATCTCTTTCAATAAGTAGATTTCTATTTCATTACAGTAGTCCATCATAGTATAATTGATTGGTAATCTGGAAATTAAATGTGATTCAGATTCTGTTCATCTTACAATTATCATCTGTCATCTATGTAAGCATAATGGAATTCCAAATAGGATGAAACGCGCGTTCTGGATTCTATTGCTGGCCACATTTTATCTATTCAACATAAAATGGAGTTGATTATATTGGTGCTGAGTTTCGTAAAAATATTACCCAGTCCATAATACAACAGAATAAATTTAATTATATCTATATTGTAATCAGCTAAAAATATCATTGTTAGCTTTTTGAAGTGAAATAAATCCTAGTTTTTTATTTACGTTAAATAGAATTGGTCTAAAGAGATATAGTTTGAAGAAGACTGTTTTTTTCAAGTTAGGAAATAATTCGCACGGAGTAATTAATCCAACTTCATTAACAATGACATGATTTAATGTGTATACATTGCACGGTAATAGTTATCAATCTTCTAAATAAATGCTAGCGAGAAAATTTAATTTGCCTTTTTTACTTGCTTATTTTAATGACGTAAGTTAATGATGTGCACTTTTGTGGAACAATAACACCGGTATTCTGATTTATGTAAATTTTAATTAAAATGTTACCACAAACAATAAACTTGCAAAGTTTTATTTAAACAAATAGTATGCGAAAAAAGAAACAAATAATTTAGAAATTTGCATACAATACCTTTTATTCGATTGATTGGTATTTCAATGAGTTTATTTACATAGTAGTTAGCATGAATGAATGTTATTGATTTTTTTTTTTTATAATGATAAAGACTGTTGTATTTGATCGCTTTGAAACACAAATGAATACAATGCAGGGTACTACTGATTTATGAATTACAGATCTGGTTGGACTGTAGAAACATTTGGTCAACTGAATCATCCGTTAAAATCACTCAAATTAAGTAGTAAAGTTGACTCACTTGTACACTTTGTGTAATCACATGCTAATTAAATTAGCTCAAGAATCGATGTAACCAGCAGCCTACAATGTTTGAATAAACTTTAATTTTTTAGATTAATATTTTGCGAGTAAGTGTCATTTTACTTTAAAATCTGACTATTTATCAACTGTATTGTAATCTAATATCAATTTATTTGAAAGCTTAAGGTCAATAATTGGTATTTGTGAGTAATTTTCGAATGACTACATGTTATCATCTATCAGAGCTTAAACTTAGCAATTTAGAAATTTAAACGTGTTCATAAGAAGTTCAAAACCTTAATCCACGACTAATGTGATTGATAATTTTCATCTATTATAGTTTACCATGGTAGTTTATTGATTCCCGATTTATTAAATAAAGTGCTATATTACATGTTAAAATAGTCCATATAATTATCAGTTAGTCAAAATATGATACCTGATGAGATTCCCATTTCTTTTGATCTTTTAATTTCGACAAGTGATCAGTGGAACCAGCTGCCCAAGCTTCAATTGCATTTAAACGTATTGGTAAGCCAGAATTATATTTTAATTCAGTAAAATCTTCATTTATCTCAATTACAGGCGTTGCAAGTGGTTGGTGCCCGACAAGAAGACCACGTTTTGATGTTTTTGTAGTGAAATTTGCATAAATTATCCCTGAGTCAGTTCCTAACTTGCCAGCTTTTAAAAGGAAGGAAAGAAGAATTTATGATCAATAAGGAGAGAAGAGAAATAGAAGGTAAGTAGACAGGAATACTGATATGCAACATTGAATAAGTATAAAAAAGACTTATCGTTTTGATAGTCTAAGGAGACAGTAATATTTATCTGAAAATTAACTTCAAGTCCTGGTAAACTGTGAACCCGTAATTTTCAAATAATATTTAAGTTTAGAGAAAATATATAACCCAAAGTTAATTTAACAAGTTAAAAACCTTGTTTTGATGGGTATTTCTCATTTATATGAAATTATTTGTAAGAGCATATAATTCTTGTTGCATTTTAAATACTGAATGGATACAAAAATTTAAGAAAATAGAAAAATAAAGAATTTAGATGAATGTTTGATGATATGATAGCGTAGTATACGTTGAGTTAGTCAGAAAACTTTTAAATTTGCGGCGATCCATCTACACTGGAGTAAACCTCTTTACAATATATTTGTGTGAATGTAATCAGTCAGTCAGATACCGCGTAGAACTTCGTACGTACATCAGTTAAAGTTGCCAAACCACATAAGCAGATATGTAACCGTTAATTCAAATCCCATAGTGGTAGATGTAGAACTATTAGCAGTAACGGAATAGATTAAGCTTCGTAGAAATGATTTGAGAAGTATAATCCAGTGAAATAAATTGAAAAGTAATGAGGAATTCAGATGATTAAAATTTGAGAGAAGAAAAGGAATGGATACACGTGCACCATTGCAAACGATTTTCAGCTATTTCCATCAAAGTCTCTAAACACCGAGAGTAAACCGAGTTGGACCTATATCTGGACAAGGTGAAGTCAAGTTAACGATTCTACCCGGATCCTGTATGCGCCTTTCGGAGGCGCAGCGTACATAGATGGCACGAGATTCTAAAATCCTGGCTAAGGAAGCTTACTGTACTATTTGTCACAAAGTTAGAACATTCAAATCTACCAACATGGAGTTAATAGTGTGGTTTCAGGAGACCAGGAAGAACGTTGCGTGAACTCAAAACGTCTGCATCAGTGGCGCGAGATGATAAAGAAATGAAAGGGCTGATCGGGGAGACAGAGAGTTGTTAAGAGGTGTAGGAAGGATTTGATTGTGACTAATTTGGTCTCGTGTGCTGTTACGAGTATGAGGGCGGATGTCACTTCCCGGCTGCCCACACCGTGGAAGGAAGCTGGATTAGAGTTGGACTGAGAAACCTGGGAGTGTAACCTCAGAGTCCAAGGGACGACTGCTTGAGGCCGGTCACACACGGCGTTTTTATGGAAAGTTTGTAAAGTGCTAGCTCCGCTCTTTAAGTGTCTCGCGGTCTACGCTTGTTTGGGCAAAAGAAATTAATCATAGAATTGTAATAGATAAAAAACAAACCGATTAAGTCATATATATGTTGAATGTTTTGTTTGGTAGTGAAGAGTTGCAAGTATGTTTCATTTTAATTCCGTCTAACTAACTAACTGATTAACGTACCAAAGTATTATGAACAGTATAGGATTGTGGAGATTATTGAGTTCCATTGAAATCCTGGAACGATCACTGCTAGACCAACATTGAGAACCTGGAAGAAGAGAATGGCTATTTCTTCCTAGTATAGAACTCCTCAGCAGTGTAGTTATCCACCGAAGACAATTGTAAATAGTTGCGAAATATCACGGATTATATGGAGTTAGACATCAACACCGATGAATGCCAACTTAGCGGTCTAGATTAGGCATCTGCACATCATACAGGGGCTGGATCCGATTCTCGCGTGCGCAGTCGTGGATGCGCACTGCTGAGGAGTCGAATAATAGGACGAAGCAGCTATCTGATTCTTGCAGGTCAGTTCATAATTTCAATAAAATTATTATGAATTTGTGTACTATAAAGAGTATTTAAAATATTATTGGGAAAACTTATTTACACTTACACACAAGTCGAATAAATTTTGGTTGAATTTGATAAAGAAATGAATACTCTTTGCCAAACGTTTTTAACGATTCTCTAAAGCAGAAAAGAAAAACTAATTTGTTATTTAACTAAGTTTATTAAAATGCATATACAGACTCTATTATATTCATTATTTATTGCAGGTCTGCTATCAGACCAGAATTTTCTCAGATATTTTATAAAAACCTAAACTAATTCCAGAGATGATTACTTTAGAGCGGTAATGTCTTATCAATTGTTTTGAGTAAAAAACAGTGGATACAAACTAAATAGTTCTGACTAAATAATATACATTGTCATAATTAATCTTCATTGATTTTCTTCTTTAATGTTAGATCGAAGTAGAGTATCTGAAATAATAATGACTGTATTATCGAAAATCTTATTTAGCAATTTGTATTTCTGGGATATTTTGAAAGGGTATACTTTTTATTCTAACAAAAATTGCTCAGACCAAGTTTTATAAAAGTAATCGGATATTTCTAGTTTTATTGAGAATGGTATATTTGATAAATATATAAACATAATCTACTTACTCAAATTGTAATTGAAATGTGATAACGATTTATCCAATTGAAAAACATTTGATTGAGAATGGGAGAGTTAATTCAACTACCTAATTATATTGTACAACAAATCATTCTCTCCAGAAGCATAAACTAAAAGAAGACTTCGTATCAAAGTGGAAATAGATGAACACTTAGGAAAACGTAAGATTAACTAGCAGGTTCAGTTAGTGGCAATCTAAGGTACTTACAATTAACGAGTAGATAGGAAAATTTGGTGGTATATTCACGCTGTCTAGTATTACATATCTGACACTGAAACCATTTATCATCCTACATAACAGACATTCACGAAGAGAATCGTGCAGTGTTCAGAGAAATCTAAAGTAAATTTCATTTACTAATAACTTACTTTAAACCTTGATCAGACAATAAACAAAATAAGAATTCCTTAGCTTTGAGAAAGACAATCAGTGGCCCATTATAATCGAATACCAATTCCATCAGTCTAAAAAATGGAAAAAAAGAAGAAATCAAGGCAAGTACATGATGATAAGTTACAGTAAAAAGCCGCTACGAAAAATAAATTACGTTGGAACAAAACACTTGTCAAAAAAATTCACTGCATTACTTAAACCAGTGAGTTTTGATGATTGGTACAGGTTTACTGGTGATGAAAGATTTGGGGAATAGATTAACCTAATTAGATTAACAACAAATCAAATAAAGATGACAATGGTTACTATTCAGTGATCAGATAGTTGTAATAATCCAGTCCCATAAGAAATCAGTAGCAACATGAATAGCTCAGTGGTAGCGCCTCAGACTATACAGATGGGTAACGTGGGTTTGAATCAGTTAGACAGCACCAGTTCACTGGAGATTGCAGGCATGAAGTGTAAACGATTCCCAGGCAGTAAGAAACCTGGATCCAGATCCTCCTACCGACTATCTTCGATTACCTGATATCTCAACCATTTCGACCAGCGGCGATATTGCAACTAAATTTGATCGGCAACAACGGACTAGACAAACATAATATTAAGTACTATTCAGCAATCAATTCATTGTAAAGTCAGGAAGTACTGGAAAGTCGTACTTTTTTAGCTTACGATTCCATACTCAGTATGTAGATATCCTAAATTATACCAGTTAAACTAGTTGTTATTCACATAATTTAGATTTGAAACAGTGGGATATAAATGAAAGTTCAAAAATGTTTCTGCATACTTCTTAGGAATTTTAATTGAGGTTAATATCTTCATTTGAACTATCGGCCAAAAGGAATTAAAAAACTTAGGATTAATTATCGTATAGCTACTGATAATGTATGATTCGAAAAATTTTTTTACCATAGGATGCTGACGTGTTATTATTTTACTAACTTTACACCAAACTTGACCATAAATAGAACGAGATAACGCAAAAATTAATAGTAAGAATTACTTCAAATAGCACTGAAATAACTGTTGTAAATCATTTAAAGTTTTTTAAAATTCCAAAGGGAAGTAAAGATGATACAGTCAAAAATACTTCGCTTTAAAACTAAGCTTTAATTATATATATATATATATATATATATATATATATATATATATATATATATATATATAATAGTAAAAGGTGAGCAAACTTGAAGTTTTGAATTGAGAAATAGAATTTCAGTAATGAATATGTATGGATTACACTTATCATAGGGAATTATAAAGAGTCCGTTAACTGAACATGATAGCTACGTTATACTCACTTTTTAACTTTGATTACGGCAAAGTTAGAAATTTCGTCTCTACATACAACTGATTACGACGGTAGCCTTGAGTATATACAGTGATAGTAACAACCTTACGGAATTATACGAAATGAAATTTTACAAACGCAAAAGTTCTAATAAAATCATTGATCAACTATTTGGTCATACGTTTATAAAAATAGTGGAAAACTATATATGCGTTAAAATTTGTGCGTGTTCATTTTATTATTTTACGACAATGAACATTGTGAAATGGTATATACAGTTAAATAACCTTTCGAAAATAAAACTCTTACAGGTTTATACATCTTCAGGTAGCAAATCGATTTTAATATTATTCATCACTGAAACATGTATACGTTACACAACAAGGTAATTCTAAAATTTAGCAAGGGTAAGTCTAAAGAACAGTCCAATCACTGAACGTTAGGTTCATAAAGACCAATTTCACTGATTAATGCATGTATTTCGAATACCTTTTGTTCCTTTATTCAGTTAAATCTGAGCTAGAAATTATATGAAAGCATGAATGATGCATATAAATTGATTAGACATAAGCAGTACTCAATCTTGTTTGTTAGCATTTTTTTTATATTTAAACCACTTTACCATAAAAAATAAAATCTAATAGATAATAATACATCTCTACCTTAGACTGAAGAATATTGATCAGTATAAAAACAACGGAAACTTTATTTACATCTTTGATAAAGGATAAAAACTTGAGATAGCGTATTAAGGCTAAACTGATAAATAGTTATTAAAATCAGATGACTGGCATGAAAACTATCTACGAGAATGTTTGTGAATGAGGACGCTAAAATACGCCAACTGAGTTTATTTTTTTACATGTGACACTGAACTAATCATTAGATTAAAGTAACTATGTTTCATCGTCATCACCTTTAGCTAGACAGATTACATAATTCATCCAAATATGAGCAACAACACTGGATGACACAAGCAGGTGTAAGTTGCTAGGCGAATATCATGTTTGCTCTACACGAAAAAGTAAATTACAAATTTTAGTACACAATTATGGTAAATGATTTTAAGTGATCTGCCTCGATTATGGTTCATGGTGACTAGACACTGCTTCCTATCTCACCGATTGTCCCCTCTTGACCAGAAGATCGAATACTTGAATGTTTTACTAACTAGATGACAACGGAATGAGCTGGTATCTTGCAAGAACTGAGAAAACAGGTGTAGAGCAGTACACATCTATATATTCATGATGTTATTATTGTTATGAACTAATAATTGAGCAGAAATTTGTTGTTGAAATCCATAAAAATATCCGGCAATGATTGATCTTAGTATCAGTAAAAAGTTTACAACACAATACCCAAGTAATTACCTGGTCAAACTCATCCCATGATTCATACTGTTATATAAACAGTGTAAATGTGACAACTGCTCCTGAAATACACATTATTATGTATACGCATAAGTCAGAATAATATACATACACATTCTAATGGTGTTGTTTGAAGTAGACAAGTATTTGGAGTGTGTTTGTACGGATAAGTGAGAAAAGTAGAGAGCAACCATTGGAGATCTGACGTCAATATTGCACCAGAAAGTTTATACGGGTTGAAATCTGTCTATGAAATAATAATTGTTTAAATGAACAGGTAAATACGTATATTTGTTTATGCACCTTACCAAATTAAATGAATGATTATCCTTTAAGAGTTGTACAAGTATGCTGACTAGGTCGTTACAAATATCTGGACATAGACGATTTAAAGAGCTAGCAACTGCGTCATGTTTGTATAAGCCCTTTTCATCCTAAAAAATAGGAAGAAAGAGGAAATCGACAAGATCAATAATTTAACTCAGTAAAACTAATGTTTTGCAGCACGTAACCAAGGATTTATGAAATATACAGTAAGCGATCTACTGTAAAATATTAGGATTTAGAATAATACATCGGACAATAGCGTTTAAAGTCTGGAATGCTTGTTTGATCTACACTCTTAATTTCATGTTAATCAATCAATCAACCAATAGCAACGTAGAACTTCGCACCTACGTACATCAGTTCATGTTGACATACCACATTAGCACAGAGACGCAAATGTCAGTTCAAATCCCACAGCAGTAAATATAGGTATTAGCAGTAATCGGAGAGATTAGGATTAGAAGATATTATTCAAGAAGTAGAATCTAGTGAAATAAACTTAAAAAGATAACGATAAAGTGATGAGGAATTAAAAAGTTTACGAGTTGAGAGAACACAATGAATAAATGCACCTGCACCATTGCAAATGGTTTTGAGCCATGTCATTCAGGGTCTCTAACCATCGGTGACTTTCGTCTCACAGACCCCGACCTGGTAGCCAACACCTACCGACATGACTCAGTCCACTTGTCAGTGACTTCATGGATTTCTCCTATTTTTTGGTTTGGCCGCACCTAGCTTTCGTCCAACCTATTCCTACACCGCAAAACATAGCTCGACGAGGCAGTTGGTGGTCAGGTATACACAACAAATGTCCCAAACACCTAAACCGATAGTTTCAATACTTCATCTATTGACGTGCCATCCTTACCTAGCACCGGTTTACTAATAACAGCATTGCTTACTCGGTTGTCCCAGGATATACATGCAATGCTTCGAAGACATCTATAATCGACAACCAGTATCGTACGAATGTCCTCTACTCTCACCGGCCATATTTCGCATCCGTATATTAGGACGGAGCAAAATGCTACGCAGTACACTCGTCCTTTGATCATCACACCGAAATCTCGCCCAAGCAATAAGTTACGCAAGTTGGCAAAAGCCAATCGAGCTTTCTGTATTCGTGCTGAAATTTCGCCAGTCACCAGGCCGTCAGCACTGATGAGACTCCCCATATAAGTAAAGCGGACCAGAAAAGCATGTAATGTCCTAAGACAATAGGACCCTTAAGTCTTAAAATATTTTTGCTAAGAGTAATGCAAAAAGAGACGCATTATGTAGGTGTAGTTTAACTAGCCATTAACTAACCAGGTAATTCAAAATGCTTTACAAATGTCTTAAATGTCTTCATTGATATGCCCTTAGCTAGCTTTACTTGGGAGACGTTTTATCAGGAAAAAGAGATGAGACCAATAAGTAATAACAATACATAACTCGTATTATGTAAACGGCTTACTGAGGGTAAGATGGAAGTAAATATCAGTTCCCATGTTTCTGGTTTTAAATCTCTTCCCAGTAAGAACCACCTAAATAACGTTCTAATATCTCGAAATTTTATGGAAATAAAAAACTTGTCACTTACCTGATTCCTTTAACGCGGGAAGCTTAAAAAAATTTAAAAATACCACCAATTTATCTTCAGTAGAAGCCAAATGCTCAATTATGCTTCGATATTTGCTGAGATTCAAGAATTCGTCACTGTGATTGCAATCACCTCCGAAATTATCCCATAGAAGATCGGCCAGATTGTCAAAGTATGGTTCCAACTTATTCTACAGACAAATACATAGTTTAAATAATAAATAGAATGAACAAACTCGAAATGCTTTCTTTGAAATGACTTGTCCATCATCCTATACAGAAGTTAGATAACGCGAAGACAGATTATTTACATGGTTCTCAAACCCAGTATATGTTTCCATTGTATCTAAATTTGTCTCAGTATGACTACTTGTACCACCCATGATTGAAAGTCACAACTGAGAAATTAGCTGAAAAAGAGTATAAAAATGAGGGTTGATAGAACAACTGAAATATTACAGGAATGAACGCGTTTAGGAAAAGTATAATAATAATACACTACAGTTAGAACTATTACTCATAATAAATCCACAAATACAAGATTTAGAATGGCCAACAGGAGTAGTAGAATATCGCAGATCGATTGTTAAAAGGTAATTATTGTTGATTAGCGGCTAGAGTAACGTAATAAGAAAAAAACACCATATACTTACATCGACATTTAGTTTCTTGGGTTATATGAGCTCCTGATGATGACTGGTTTGAAAACAAATATAAACGAAGCAACTGAATCGAAAATGATGTGACGTAACCAGTGATTTAAAAATGTTTTTGGTTTAAATTTTATTATTAGTAGCATTATTTTCATATCGTGTATTTGTTGGTAATTCTCTGCCTCTTTCCGTTTATATTCTTTACTTTCTCATTATGTACACACTTCTCATTACGTAATGGTTTCAATGTTTTGTACTGATTATTTTAAGTCTATTTATTCACGTTTGACCTACTAAGGATAAAACTTTAGTTATCGTATTTTATTTTTCTTACTACTATTAGTACACCTTTCGTCCAACTATCAACTTGTACATTTGCCTATTATGTGAAGTGAAGTAATCTATTTCATTTCGTTGTGATTATTTACACAAATTGCCCTGACTAATTTAATATTATCATATAAATATTCATGTATATAAGATTAAAGCCTGATGGCGATTTAATCAAAAACAAAAATTGTTCGCTTATATGTATTGTTCTGATTTTCACAATGGGAATCTTTAATAATCATAAATAACTCACCCAACAACGACTTAGCCTAATGACCTTCAAGTCATATAAAGTAGCGTACCGAAAAAATGTACTGCTCCAATATCCAATATCTTTTTCACGAGCTAGTGTAAACCAATTTGATTTCTTCGCGCTCTATTCTTGTTCTTTCGGTACGGTTCCAGGTGTTCGGTAATGTCCAATGGATGGAGGTCTAGCCACTCGACTGTCTAATTCTAGTCAGTTGGCAGTTGGTTGTGAGTTTGTATGTCTCGGGATTTGAATGAAACGTTTGTTTCAGGGCAGTAGGGTTTCTGGATACTAGCAGCCGTCACATTACCAAACCGGAGATCAGTTAGTTGCAATGTGGAGAGTAATAAGGGTAATAAGGGTAAATTAAAATGATAATATGAGTAAAATTTCAGAACTGAGTAATATATAGATGAATTTACTTTATTAACTGGTAGTGAAGATTGTGAGAGAGGACTGTAATAATAATAATAATAATAATTTATTCTCAAATAACTACGTTACAAGAGTCACGCCAGTTTACAGGCTAGATCAAAATGTCACAAGTGCTTTTACAATTACTGTAAAAGTTATAGCAGTTAAATTAAGTATAAGAGACAGTTTCTGATTGCATATTTACGCCATATCACTGACAGAAACAGTATGATACAGCCACATTTTCAATATTAGAGTACAAATGAGGAAGGTGCACAATAGGTTCTATTGGCGATTGGCCGAGATCAATAGTGAATTTGTTGGGAAAGGTCATATGGAACGCGCTTGATACGAGCTGTGATCCAGACAGTCATGTATCTAGGGTGCATGTTCCCTAGAGTTGCCAAGGATTTCCCATCGTGAATGGGGTTCTGAAAAGTAGAAGAGAGAGAGAAAAAGGCAGCAGTGTGGCAAGTGTATATATATAACCAAAGCACTACTTAACCTGTCATGTTGAAGTAGTCAATACAGTAGTAAGTCAAGATAAAATTCATACTGACCACTTAAATTAAAGTAAATTATGGGAATATAAGAATATAACGCACAGATAAAGGAGTACAGCAGAAAGAAGGGAGAGTTGTGCAGTGTCAGGTGGATAGAAGAGAAGTCGAAGTAAGAAGCTGGATTTATGTACGTTGAAATCAAAATTCTAGTTAAAAGAGTAGAGTTTGTAAAAATAAATATTTGACGAATAAAATCTCGCACTGTCTAACTGTTTTTTTCTTTATTATTGAATGCCAACCTCTAAGTCATACTGTAAGCGCCTGAGTAAGAATGTTGCGGGTGTCTCGACAGAATAGCGACCTCAGCATAGTTTTGGAAACATGAACCACAGAAGTAGCAAGCGTATAAGAGCAACCTCAGTGTTACTGATTAGTCGTCTCATCAATCTAAAGAGCCGAAAGCAAACAAAATGTTCTGCCCCACAAACATGGGTGGTTTGAAGTTATCGCCCACACCATCAATGTTTGCTGGTCAGTAACTCCACCCTCCCTCCTTTTGTGTTGTTAGGCTCATGTTAAAGTTTAAAAGAAGCTATTGAGTTCTACTTGGTGTTCTATGTCTCACATCCTGTTGAGAAACACTATTTCTGCAAGTTCCTTTCACAAACTCGTCTGGCTATTACAACTTATGAACTATTGGTTAGGCATCACTGCTATACAGTTAACAGTTGTGGAGAAATACTACGGATTTTCAAACAAGATATAAGCATTTAGAATGTAGTGGGGAAGATGTACTTAACTAGCTTAGCAGGAGATATAAAGAGCATCACGGTTAAAAGTTGAGCAATAGATAACACTAAGGGGCCAAGGTAAGTCAATAGCGTGTAAGTGAGAACAGTATAATTGATAATAGGCAATGTGGAACTCACACAGTTGAAAGTGTTGATAAGGTTGTCCAGGAGATTAGAGTGCATTCTAATCAACCAGTTTACAGTTGAACAATGTCGATCGACCCAGTGAATAGAGTAACCTATCTATTTCAAATAAAAACTAAAGAGATTTATATTCAACTAGAAAAATTAGTGCTACTTGGGAGTGTAAAAATAACTAAATAAGACGCAGCACTGAGTTCATTGTGTTTAAAGTGTATGCAGAGCTATTAATATGAAAGCAGGGTGCGAGTGAGTTCACGGGCGCAGAAGAGTCAGTGCAACTGAGAGCATCATTAAGAAGTTGAACAAACTCATGTAACCCACTTGCCATGCGTATTTTAGAGGGAAGCCTATTCCATATAAGTGCATACTTAGAGAGGAAGAAGTTTTCTCGAGTTTTGGATCTATACTTCTCAAGTTTGACCGTAGATACTTTATCTCGAAGGTAATGTGTACAAGGGCCATGGATAAGGACTAAACTGCAGGAGGAATATGTGAGCTTGTGCAGGAGTTTAAAGTAAAGGATCAGATTGGACTTAAGCCTTCTTTTCCATAATGGATCGAGCCCGAGTTCAATACATCGGGTTTGATAGTCAATGGGTGAGCTATGATTGAGGACTTTACGAGTAAATTTCCTTTGTATTCCTTCAAGCTTCAACATATCAGACAGGCGTACGTTAGAAAATAAGAAAGAGCAGTATTCAGCAATAGGTCTTACGCATGTTTTATAGAGAATTGTTCTGGATTCTCTATGAAGGAAGTTACGAAAGATGAAACCAAGCATTCTTCTCATTCGAGAAACTTTATTGGAGATATGTTCGGAGAAGTTAAGGTTGTGCGAATATGCACTCCAAGATCAGTTACGGATGGAGTTTTGGGCAATACATTCCTGTTGAGAATGAGATCTAATTTGGGAGCAGCGTCTCCGAAACACATCCAGCCACACTTCTCAGTATTAAGTTCAAGGTTCCATTGCTTACACCAGACATCTACAGTATTGAGTTCGTGTTGGATTGTGTGCAACAAGTTTCCTAAGTCAGATTTGCTAGTTTGATAAATCACTTTAGGTCATCCGCATAGAGGTAGGTTTTACCAGTGTTGAAACAACTGCATGTTGTTTAC